CAAAAAGCCCCCCCCCCCGGAGGGGAGCCATAATGGCAGCACCAGGTAGGTGATGGTGATGCCAAGCTGGAATGACACGTGCACACACTCACACACAAGCATACACAAGAGTCTCCCTACAGACGCTCTTAATTAGACTCCACCCGTCCCCCACGGTCCCTGTGGCAGGCGAGACAAAGGGAGGCTCACTCGTTTGGACATGAGAATGTGTGTGTGTGTGTGAGTCTGTGAGTGTATTGTGTGTTTGTGTCTGAGGGGCCTATCTTTAGCAGATGCTCATACCTCTCCCATCTCTCTGTGTGCGGAGCAGCGGTGCTATCATTAAAGTGTCACTGAGAAGTGGCACCACTTAATTTTAGCTGCTCTCACTGGGGGCACTGAGGGAGATGCTGGAGACTGAGGAGGAAGAGAGGGAGGGAGGGAGGAGAAATGGAGACAGAGAGGGGACCAAGTAGAAAGATACAAAGATTAGATAGAAGGGATTAGGAGGGGAAAGCATGTATGTAAAAAGTAAAAACCTGATGCAGCCAAACGCTCCAATGTTTCCACAGAAGCAACACAGTGTCACATACACTTGATGAACTGTGATTAAAGTTTGCTCAAACTACAACATTTCATAACATCTTGCATTCTTCTGCTCCAAAACAACTGTGTTGTTGCCTGTCTGGGAATTTAAGCCCAGAAAAGAGCAAAAGTGGCAAAAACTGTTGCTTTTTTTTCACCAATTTTAAAAATGTTTAAGTCTGGTGAACCACAATGTCCAGTGTGTTTTATGAAGTAACACATTAGTTCTCTGGGCAAATCACGGTTGCTGCCTAAATCAAGCTGCATAATGCTGACTGATGTCTTTCTACAATTTGACAGAAAGACAAAATGAAACAATACGACAAAAAAAGAGTAGGAAAGAAAGTGGAAAATATGAAAACCAAACACCTGATTGCCCTGAGATGAGTTACACGACACCCATACACAGCATCCTGGTGGCGTCGGGCTCAGTAATGAATCCATGTCTCAGGGACGTCAGAACTCAAAATAACCAAGTGGTGGACTGTTTGGAAGAGAGAGCAGACAGACAGTCAGAGACAGTGTGAACCTGTAGAGTGACAGATAATTGAGCCTATTTTCCTCCATGACAAGCCAAAAACATGGTAAATGCAGAAGTGTGTTATATGAGTGGGCATTACAGTTACACAGGGTCTTCCTGACTTTTCTCACTTGACCTTGACCTTGGCATCCCCACTGCCTCCCTCTGTCTGTCTGCTCGATGTGTCAGTCAAACGTTAACACGTTGTCGTTGTCTTCTGGAGCAGGTATAGACTTGTTAATCTGCCCACATCTGCCCTCCTCTGCTCTCTGCTATTTAGATTTTGTCTGGAAGGCTCACGTGTTTTCATAAGGCTAACACAAACAAAACCTTGCTCCACAGTCTCCACCAACTGTTACTTTTACTAGAGGGAATTATACATTTTTTTTCTGGACTTACTATTACCACACGCTCTTTTCTTTCTCACCTGTCCAGCCTGCCATCACGTCCTTCTGTCCATCTCCCACCGTTCAAGGTCTTTTGGTTTTAAAGCTGTTTTGTGAAGTTGAACAGCAAAGTTAAAGGAGCAACACCATACTGATCTGCTCAAACATATGACTGATTAATTATTAAAGAGGTTTTTCTCTGATATGCTGCTGCACTTCCATGAAGCCTGAAGACTTGTGAGAGACATATTTTAAAAAGAATGATGAAAATCAAAGCAGCAGAGGTCATCCTCATGGTTATTTTCAGATTTTAGGTGTCTCAGTTCAGGCAGGGTGTTTATCTGTCATAATGCCATACAAACCTGACCCCAAGGAGATGATACCTGCGTGAATCAGTGTATTTCTGTTGCAAATTTCATTACAAAAACAACATTTAGGTCAGATTCAAGGCCAACAGTATTATGAAACCGCTGCTTTTCTCCTCAACCTGGTGTCCTTCTGTCTTAGTTTAAAACACACTTCCTATAGTCTCCTCTCTTGCTCCTCCTCGGAGCCACCCACTGCTCCCTCCACTCTTACTTTCTCCTTGTTTGACTCTCACTGTCATACAGTTTTGGCATCTGTTCGTGAGTCACCTCCCACGTTTCCCTGTCTTGTCCCATTCATTACAACTTTTCATCCATATATTCTTTTACTTACTTCAAGTCTCTGCCCCCCTCCTGTTTTAGATCTCTGCCTGCTGTGTTTGTGCCTCATCTCATACTATGTGGTGTAGTGGATAGGACGGCTCACTCCAAAGTCTTCATCTAAATCTCTGTGCTGCTGGATAGGGTTTGACTGTAGAAACTTCGGTGGTTGGACCCCTCATGCCTGCTAGTGTAGTCTAACCCTCCCTGTTAACTTTGCCGAGTCCTGTCAGTGTCTGCATCCATCTCTACATGTACCACATATCTAGTGGTGGGTTTCTTAAGTATTTGCTTTTACAAAATCTAATATATAAAAAAAATTCAAAATGGTTTGGTGTGGTTTTACTCACAATAAAATATAAAAACATAAATTTTGTTGTTGCTGTTATTTTTTTTTTTTGTCTGTCTGATAAAAAAATGTTCTCTCTGTTTTCACTCAGGCAGTCTTTATGTTTATGTTTATGTACATTTAAAATGAGATATACACAATAGAATAGAAACAGAATGCAGTAAGAGAATATTATACAATTACTAAGAACAAATAAAAAATATACAAAAATATACATTACAACAAAATATCATAAACAAAGCTTCAATCCTAATGACCCTCTTTTCATGATTTCTGTTACAAAACCACACTTCTCAGCATGTGACTAGGCAAATCATCTGTACTATACAAAAATGTGGAGAACATGGAAGCTAAAAATGGGGTATTTGGTTAATCAAAACATTTTTATTTAAACTTTAACTTAAGATGAGTCTAGCTGCAATTTCAGTCAAGACTAAAACAAACTCAGTTGTCATGCTAATTTCAGCAAAACGCAGCAAACACAAAATGAGGTTGTGTCTGCTTTTTGTACAAACTTTCTCTACTTGTTTAAATGGTAAATGGTCTTACACTTGTACAGCACTTCTCTATGCACTGCAGCACGCTCAAAGTGCTTTCACACTATTTGGCCATTCACCCACTCGCACTCCCAAGCACTCACACATTCGTGCACCGGTGACATCACCAGGAGCAACTGGGGGTTCAGTGTCTTGCTCAAGGACACTTCGACATGTGGACTGGACAAGCCAGGAATCGAACAGCTAATCCTCCGGTTAGGAGATGACCCGTTTTGTGCTGGGTGAGTAGTATCTGTTTGGTTTGTTTGAAACACTGAGTTCACAGAGTTTCAGAGTTTGGTGTTGAATCTCAGCGGGTTTATCACTACAGACAACTCTCATGTTACACAGAGTCATTTGATTTATTGTTAATGGGAAGCATATCAGTTAATGCACGTCACGATGTCAGAGAACTAGTTACGGTAATGATATTGTGACATCAAGGAAGTGTAATGTAATGAATCTTCAGTTTGTGTTTCACTGCTGTGTTTGTGCATTTGGACCATTACTTAATGGTCCAAAGTGTCTCCATTGTTCTCACCACAAACCTGCATTTAATCACTACACTCTACACCCTGTGCGTGTGTGTCATTTACAAAGTGGGATAGGGTCATAGGATTTATGTTATGGGAAGATCATGATCTGCAATGAGAAGAGATGACAGCAAAGGGGAAAAAGACACCGTACGAGAAAAGAAGGACAAACTAAAGAGTGATGAGAAAAAGGAGAGAAGTAAAGATCAGAGGAAACAAAAGGTGAAAAAAGAAAAAGTGAGGTGAATAAGAGACTGAAGACTGGAGATGTGACAGGAGGAGAGGAGATAGGAAAAGCAGGAGAAGATGTCTACAGGAGGAGAAAAAGGAGGCGAGTGGAGACCTGATGAAGGGATAAGAATGGAGAGGAAGAAAGGGAAAAAGGAGTGAGGCCCTCTTCATTTATTGCTCCAGTGGAGAAGAACGTAGAGCTCTCTAATGGCACTGCCGTGGTAATAACAATAAAAACCAGGAGAACAAGTGAAGAAGAGAAAAACAGAAAGAGGTTAGGACAGAGAGGGAAACAAAGCAGGAGTGTTTTCTTTCTACATTTCCATATTTCCTTATATAGTTCCCCCTCTCTTTCTCTTCTCCACCCTCCACCCAACACACACAAGCTTTCCCTCTCTTCTTCTTTTCTGTCTTTCCGCTGTTAGCGCTGTGTGTCCTTGCTCTATGCTTTGTTAGGCAGGTCAGTGGCACTGCTGTAGTTGCTGTGTCAGGGCTTTCTATTGGTGGTGATTAATGTATGGAGATGAACTGATCGTCACCAGCCACCAACAATATTCTCACCGCCGGCACAGGGGAGGTGCACACAGGGGGTAGGGCACATTGGAGACAGCATGCACGTAGCTGAATCTTAAATGCTTGTTGCATTCGGACACATAATGAAGCCACTCACAAACTTATAGAAAGAGAAGAGAAAAACTTGGGAGACGTTCTCCCACACTGTGTCTAGTAGAAAGATCTTCTGATTCTAAATTTAAATCACATTATGAGAAAAATTCTAGGAAACAAATCTGCAACAGTAATAACTAATAATGACTAAAGATTTCTTTAGATTAGTTGATTAATCAAATGATTACTCAGAATCTTTTGATTACTGACTATTTAAGTCACTTTTCAAGCAAGAAAATCTGCTGATGCCAGCTTCTTAAATAAGAGAATTTCGTACTTTCCCTATTTTCTATAACTGTAAATGCACTATATGGTTTGGTTTTGACTGATAGCTAGACAAACCAATCAGTTTGAGTATGTCATCATTAATCAACAACAAAAGTGATGGCTAATTGCTTCCCTAGATCTTTTGTAGGGAAGAGTTTGCTTTAGCAAAGTACTAATTAGAACTGTAATGCTTTTTTCATGATAATATGCTTTTATTGTAATTAAGAAATTCCATGTCATAATTATAACATACAAAAGTCATGTTAGAGTTGTGTGGGGCGCTTGGTCTACTTAAGTGTAGTTATTGTTATTTTTGTATGTAGCACTCAACAGTGTGAACAACACGTCTCTTATGCTGCTTGTGTTAAAAATATCACTCTCAACTATAGACGTGTCGATAGCAGTAGCACAGTTTGACATATTAACAGACATGATCGCTATGCCTCATTACGCCAGATCTTTATGAATGATTCTGAAAAACTCTGCGGTGCTGAAAAGCAGCGCTGCAAAATAAAACGGAGCACCAAAAAAAGTTGTTTAATGATTGTAAAACTTGTGCGATATCTGCGTAGCAAATGTTGTGCCAGGTTGCCATTTCTGCCCACGCTGCATATGTGTGTTTTGTGATTAGGCCACTGAGACAGTAGATAAATGAGCTTTGGGAAGAAAATGAAAGTGAAAGATAAACTGGATCGCCCTGTGAGAGTTCATGTAGTAAGCTAGCCATAAACACACACACATACACACACTAAACCTTTCCTTCCTATCCACCTTCCCATCCATCAGGCCATCTCAGGGAGCTGCCCGCGGTTCCACTGGCTGGTTTAATTGTTAATGCTAATTGCTATTTATTGGCTCGGATGCAAATGATAGGCTGCCCAAAGTGAAATTTTATGAGGAGTGAACTCCCCCTCTCACACAAATTGAAAAAGTGAAACAAGAGGAAGAGGGAAATGAGGCGAGAAGAGAAGAGCTTAATGGCGGCTTTTTAATGGCAGAGAGCAAAAATTAAGACTGATTTAAGACACAGAGCTGAATCCCCCCCAAAATCCTCTGTGATCCCCACTCAGGGAGACACCCATTTGGCATAAGTAGAGAGGAGAGGAGACAAGAGAAGAGGAGAGAGAGGAGACGAAAGAAGACGAAAGAAGAAGAGAGGAGAAATTTCAAAAAGATTTATTTATTCTTGAAAGGTAGTTTTCAGTATTACATGTTAAAATCTGTTATTCTTTGGATTTATTTTAATAAAAGAGTCAAATGGCGCTGTAGTTCTTGATCTTACAAGTGTAAAACCTTTGAGGAAATAAGTT